CCTCGGCCATGAACGGACGAGGCTTGACAACGGGAAAATGGGCATCCTTGTCGACCCTGGAGCTCACGGGAACCTGGCAGGGGATTAGTGGGCCAAGCAGCAGGCAGCCAAGGCGTCGTGCTCTGGCCGCGACACCGAAGAGATGATGTTGAACGAACGCCTGGAGGTTCACGGCGTCGGCAATGGCCCCGACTACTGCCGCCAGCAGTGGCGATTGCCGATCGGCGCGCAGGGGATCCGCCGCGAGAGCGATGGCGCCGGCAACCTGGGCTCGCACGCGGCGCCCATCGCCCCGGACAGCGACGTCCAGGCACTGCTTGGAGACAGTTCCCTGAAGAAGCTTGGTGAGTGCGGCCCTGGCATTCTGCGTCTATGCGGGCCTGGGCGTCGAGAGCTGTCGCTACCTGCCGGTGCGAGGAGCTACCGCCTGAAGGCCAGTGGGGGCGGGCAGTGGCTACTCCTGTGCCCGAAGTTCAGGGGGGGGGCCGCGGCGAGCGCGACGGGGCACCTTATTGACGTGCAGCAACCAAGGCCCGAACAGCTCGACTTCGCGATGGTCGAGACCGAGAACGAGACGAAGCCCGAGGTTCAAGGCAGTCAAAGTTCGGCTGTCGCGGGATGCGGAGTTGCAATGGGCAGCTGCTCCAGGCAGGGAGCGGCGCGCCGCGCGAATGCCAGGGCGGCAGCCGCCTCCGAGCCCGCGGCGGCGCTTAAGCAGGAGACGATTCACTTCGCAAGGGGGTGCGCTTCGAGGATGCGCCGCTGGCTGCGCCTTCAGAGCACCAATGAAGGCGCAGGGTTCCAGTCGCGGCGGCCGGAGCAGCTGCTGGGCGCCATGTGGCGACGCCGCAGCATGTGCAGGTTCTCGGTCACCGTCTCGACCCGGCCACTTCGATGAGCTGCGAGAGAAGGGGGCTGGCCAATCGCTCAAGTGCTGACATATGGTCAGATTTGCGTTAAAGACTTTCGAGACCTCAAGTGGCAGCCTACAGAAGGAAGGTTTCGACTGCTCTGGACAGACCTACTTGGGCGCCGTGTGCCGAAGGAGGACAGCGCCCACGGCGACGTCTGCGGTGTTTTGGGGGGTGCGTGCGAGCTCAAGCGGCCAGAGGCGGGGCCGCTACGCTGATTGCTGACCGCGGGGGCGCCGCGCGGGCAGATCCGACGGCCGTGCGATTGCGGGCGGAGGTGCCCCGCGAGGCGGACATCCATTGGCGCCCCTTCGACGCGCCCTCTCTTCCAGACGAGTCTGGCGAGCCCAGTTGGAGCGACTGGGTCGACCGCGTTCAAGCGTCTTTCTTGGTCAACGCGAAGCCTTGCGCGTGCCGGGGCAAGGGGCGACGGGGGCAAAAGCGATTGGGGGGGCCCCTCGGGCAGCGACCAGCGGAAGCAGCAACGAGACGAGCAACATCTACAGTGCATGGTGGCGATGTTCCGGGGGATCAGCGACGCCCTCGCTATTCAGTGCCGCCGTTCACCGCCGGAGTCGAGAACCAGGCGGGCCATGATTGCGGACGTCCGCCAAGGGGGTAGCTCATGCTCGGCCGAGGCCAGGGCGCGCGCCAGGATGCAGGCCCCGGTCGATAAGCCGAGAGGAGCTTGGAGGGATAAGTTCGATATTGAGAATTACTTCGATGACTGCGGCGATTTCATCGCGGGGCTGGGCATGGGCAGTGGAGTCTTCGTGACCTACGAGGAATGCGATGCGTACTCAGATGACGACAACCTCGTGTTTCTCACCCGGGAAGAGTTTCACGATGGTGGATGCCATGCCTCTTGTCGTCGCGGACCCGCGCGCGACTATGGGGCCGCGCGGCCCGGAGGCCCAGGAGTCCGTTGGGCCGCCAATCTGACGCATCTTGTCGCCCTCCTCGCGAAGACGACGTCTGGCATGGGCGTTCTGGAGATTTGTGGGGGAAGAGGCTGCGTTAGTCGCATCTGCGTTCGCTGGAAATGTCGAGTCGGGCCCAATTTCGATATCATGTGCGGCTCAGATCTTCGGAATGCGGACGGACAGTTGTCCCTCTGGGGTTATTTGGAGCGTGGTGTGATGGTCGTGGCAATGGCTCCTCCCTCTGCCCCCATGAGGCCGCTTCTCGAGCATTGACATGTTCGACGCCGCGGGCAGCTAGATGGATTGCTACGAGACATGCCAGATGCCGGCCATCCTGCGCGGAGAGGTGGCCCTCTACCAGCTGGGGTGCGGACGAGGTTTTATTGGCGAGAGCCCGCCTGGGTCCAAGCGGCATCATGAACCACCGTGGCGACGAGTTGCGGTGTGCCCTGAAATTGCGCGCTATGGTGGATCTGTGCATGGCAGGCTTGAGAAGCTCAACTGGAGTACCAATAAGGAAGAGGACGAAGCTTTGGGCAGAGCGCGAGCCTCTATTACGACGCGCGGCGATGTTTCAGTGCGACGGCGGACGCTCACGATGCGATCGAAGGCAGAGAGGGGACGGAGCGGGCCAGGCTGCGGCCCTGGTCTTTCGCAGTCTCTATCTCGAACGGCATCGTGGACTACCTTTCCGAGCTGGCAAATCAGGAGGTGACGCGCTGCCTGCAGAGCGAGGCGGCCTATCCTGGGGCTGCTGCAGCGGCGTCCGCGGGCGAGCAGGAACCGTGGTGGCCGCCGCGGGCGCAGCCGCCCTGGGGGGCGGCGGTTTCTGCCGACCCGTCGTCTCCGGCCGCGCTGGGGCCCGCAGCGCGGAGGCGCGTCGCCGCCAAGAGGACAGGCGCCTCCATCCCCGCGGCGCAGCCGGCGCCCGCGGTGGCACCCACTCCCGCGAGCGAAGCTCCCAGGCCTCCAGCTGAAGCCAGAGTTCGTCCAGCGCGTGCGGGACGGCGACCATGCTCTGAATGGAGCTGCAGGGCGTGCAACGGCGCCAACGTGGCACGCGCGCGCGCGCCTGGAGAGCGCAGGCTGGCGACGCCTGGAGCACGGGCCTGGAGGCGTCAACAGCGCGCCCGAGGAAGGCCAGAGACAGCGCCAGGTCATGCGCTTGTCGCCGGACAATACAGGCGGGCTACCGAGGTGGGTCCACGACCATCTGGCCGACGACGCCCAGTCCGAGCAGCGGCCAACGACTGGGCACAAGGAGCTGGAGTACCACTACCGGGTGGAGTTGTGGATGCTGAAGACGCACTGGACGGAGGTGGGATCGCCGCTGCTTCAGCACCAGCGGCGCCGGAAGAAGAGCAGGCCATGGGCGGGGATTAGTCGAGCTAGGACTTGGGCTCGGCAAGGCGCGCGCTCTTCAGGAACAGCGCGGCACTGTCTCGTCGCCTTCTCCGACGCCTGCGCCTCCGATGGTTTTGCGCGCGCCGGCAAGAAGGCCGTGGCGCGCGTGCTCGCCGCCGCCGGTGTTCCGCCCGAAGTGATCCAGATGGTCGACAACATCGTGGACGCCTGCAGGGCCTGCAGGTTGTGGAGGAAGGGCGGCGGCGGCAGGCCGACCGCGACGGCAAAACTGAGCGTCGAGTTCAGCGACGAAGTGCAGCTGGATCTTCTTCTACGAGCGAAGGGTCGCAGGACATTGTGCGACGGGCGCATTAGTTTTATGGTCGCCCGTGAGCTGGTGGATGCATCCCTAGAGTACCTCCTTGACTACATCTGGACGGCCTGGATGCATATGTTTGGCCCCATGGCGGTGCTGACGGTCGACGGTGAAGGCGCCGTGGCGTCGGAGGGGGCAGGGGTGGTTCTCGGAAGCGTCGGTGCTGCACGAAAGCTCAAGGCGCCAGGTCAGCACGCGCAAGTGGTGGACCGACATCATGAGATATTGCGGAGGCAGCTGCGCCTGATCGACGCCCAGTGCCGCGAGAACGATATCAAAATCTCATTCGCCAGGAAGCTAGCGGCGGCCGTCTGCGCGAAGAATGCGTTCCTGACGATCGGAGAGGACGCTCCCTATAGGGCGCTATGCGGCAGGGCACCTCTCTTGCTCAGAGACTTCGGCAGAAATGGAGCGCAAGAGCATGACGACGAGAACGGATTGGCTATCCTTCAGCACGCTCAGAGGCATCGCGAGATTGCGACTGCATCGATCATCGAGGCAACGGCACAGGCCATGACGGAGGGAGCAGCGAAGTCGGAATCGGCCCCAGTGCTGGAGGATTTGAAGTTCGAGATCGGTGACCTGGTGGATTTCTGCAAACCTGGCCAGGCCCCGAAGGATGCGCCGAATTGAGCGGGCCCAGCCACCGTGGCGTCGGCGGCCGCGCCAGAGACGGGTGCGCTGACGAGCCCGTGGCAGGGGCGAGACATGGCGATGCGGCGACCAAAGCCACCGACGTCAGAAGGGCGATCCTGTTCACATACGCCGAGTCGTTCGCGTCGACGGAGTGCGACCCAGCTCGGGTGCTCATCGACTTTGTGCAAGGCATCGGCGAGGGCTTCGAACACCCAGGCTGGGCGAGTGCATCATATGGTTGGACGTTGACGAAGATGTCTCAGAAGTATCCCAGAGTGGTGGTGGTCATGCTGCAAGTGGCCTCGTGCGGCCTGCATCTCAATGGAGTTGTGGCGGCTCGAGTTGGCAAAAAGGTTCCGACGCTGCTTGGGCTGCGCGATTTCGAGTCCCGCGAGATGTGCTGGTGGGTGCCGAGGAGACGAGGCAAGGGGGGCACTGGCGTGGAAACGATGTGCCATGGCGGAGACGCAGCTTCGTAGCATTTGGGCTTGCGACAGATTCGGCGAAACATATTGGAACGCCACCTACTTCATGTAGTTTCTCACCGTTGAGCCCGACGTGCCGCTGGACACCCTGCAGGAGCAGGCCCCTCAGGTGCCGCGCGTGGGTGGGCCTCATCTGCCCGGCGCGGACGCTCGGCGGCGAGAACATCGCGCGATGGCCAGGCGCTCTTTCTCAGCAGGCTCGCAGGGCGCCAAGGGCCCAGCGGCGCATGTGGCAAGGGGGGCTGGGAGGCGAGCCCGCTGAGACGACGACGACGCTGCCGCGTCCTCTCCCCGGGCCCCCGCGCCCGGCGGAAGGAGCGCCAGCGGCGGCGGCCGCGCGGGAGTCTGACGGGGAGGAAGACAAGGATGACAGTCTCGATGAGCTATATTCAGTCGAGGCGCTCTGGGCGATGCCGAAGGGCGGCGAATCGATGCCAGATGCGGGGGGCCTCCTAGAATTCGTGAGGTATCTGACGGAGGAGCCAGACACCTCCGCCATCGATAGGAGTGACGTGATCACGGACTACGATGTCGTGGAGGCCTGGTTGACCCAGGACAACAACTACGGCGAGCTGACGACGGAGATTGCGGAGTCTTTGCAGCCCGGGAAGGTTGCGCATATAGATTTTGCAGCTGAAGCTTGGAATATGCCATGTGAACCCTGCGTCGCGGGAGATCCCAGACACGAAGATGACGTGGTGATTATCACCTTCGACGGGGGCGGCGCCGCGAAGGCAGTGATATAGCGCGGCGACGACGTCCTTGCGCCGGCCGAGAATATAGAACGCCGAGAAAAACTGCGAGCCGGGCGTCGCCGCCGGGCAGGCCTCGAGGCCACGTCCAGGATTTTGCGGAGGAGCGCCGAGAACATTATGGACGCGAAGTGGGTTGACAAATGGAAGTGGACAAACATTTGGTGGCACCGTGACGAAGGTCATTCGCTGCAGGCTGACAGTGCGTGGAGTCAAGCGCCGCCGTTGGGGCGAGGCCAAGGCCTTCGCTAAGACGAGCGCCCGCTGGGGACAGCGAATGTTGAAAGTTCTGGCGGCTCAACATCAGCGGCGGCTATGCAGTGCGGACGTGTCCCCGGCATTCGTTCAGGGTTTGACGCGCGAGGAGGTTTCGCGGCTGCTGAACGGGCCCATTCGAGAGATGTGCTTCGAGCTGCCCGAAGGATCGGCATCATTTCTTTGCGAGGTCGAGGGCTTCGAGAGGTCCGCAAGCGTCTTAGAAGTACTGCGGATGGAGAAGGGAGGCTTCGGCCACAACGCGGCTCCTCGCCTTTTAGGCCTGCGACGCGATCAAGAGTTGTTGGTGGTTGGTCTTCGAGCGACTCATGCCGATTCCCAACTATGGCCGAAACGTGTCGGCCAGGTTCTGGCGTCGGTGGTCCCCGCGCGCCTGGATGGCCTGAAGTGCGCCGGAGAGGACAAGGCAGTGAACGAGATGATACGAGCGCTGGAGGCGGTTTTCGGCAAGATGGTTACGCGCGAGAAAATGTTCGCCCACTGCGGGCTCCGACACCGACAGTCAGACGATATGAGCATAGAGGTGGACCAAGCGGAGTACATCAAGAACCTGAACTTCACCGACGCCAAGGAGTTACAGGGCAAGAGTGACGAGGACGACCCGCCAGAAAAGCGTGTGAAGTTGTATCCGTCCCTCCATTGACTTATTGTATGGTGTATCATGACGAGAGCGGATATATGCATGTACGTGGCAGAACTGCAGAGGCATGGCAAGGCTCCTCAGGTGGGCCACATCAGGAATATGAATGTGTTCCTGCAGTACATGAAGGAGAATCCGATGTCCCTGGTAACGCATCAGCTGCAGCTGCCGGCGAAGTTGTTGGCTACAGTTGGCGACGCAGCTTTCAGGAGAGAGCCAGATGGAAAAAAACAAACAAACGCCTGGCCATGAGGGGCGTCGTGTATCGTCTGGTGGAGGATGGAGAAGGACCAGGAGGCACATGCAACATGCTGGAGTACTATCCGAGGAAGCAGGCGCACGTGCTGCGAAGTCCTTGGGGAGCGGTGTCAGTTATCGGATGGATGTGATTATCTTCTCCTGTCGGCGTTTCCCCTGACAGAGGTTCAGATGGGAAAGATTGGTGTACGACAGCTGCGAGACATGGTTGATGGCGCTGAGAATTGCATGCTGCCAGTACTTCCGCTGGAGGTTTGTGTGGATGCGCAGAGTGTGCTCTCCGGCACTACGGCAGAGCAAGTCAAGATGCCGACCGAGAGGCACGCGCTGTACCACGCACAGTGGATACGAGAGATGCTGGACATATCCGTCCTACGATTACAGTGGTGGATTGATACGAGGGACTGGTGTGCAGATGGTCTTACCAAAGGCAATGTACTACGAGAGGCACTGCGGCGCGTCGCACGAGGATAGTGGAAGGTCCAACACCGGGTCGTAGCTTGGAGGTCGAGGGGCCTAGTCCTCCAGGGATCGAGTTAGACCTCGAATCGAGGACCCTCGACGACGCACAGAGCCTCTCCATATACGTACCGATTTTGTGTAGTCGCTTGCTCTGGCGGGCAGATTCCTGTGCTTGCTGGAGATCAGCGACCTGCCACGTTCACCACCGGAGTCGAAAACTGGGGGCGGGACGTGGGGAGCAAGGGCAGCGCGGGCGAGCATGGCGACCCGGTGCGCCTGCTCTGACTCAAGGCCGAGCGACCGAGGTGTGCGAGCGGCGGCGCGGGCCTGCGCCCGAGGGCGCGGACATTGAGAGAGCTGGTGCGGCTGTGGCGCCAGCGTCGGGAGGAAAAGACTCTCGACCGAGGAGGAGTAGGAGAAGGAGGAGGAGGCGGAGGAAAAGGAGGAAGAGGAGGAGGAGGAGGAGGACGAGGAGGACGAGGAGGAGGAGGAGGAGGAGGAGGAGGAGGAGGAGGAGGAGGAGGAGCAGGAGGAGGAGGAGGTGGAGGAGGAGGAGGAGGAGCAGGAGGAGGAGGAGGAGGAGGCGGCGGAAGGGGACGAGGATGGCAAGTCGCGGGCTCCCCGTGGCCCCATCATCATGGGGAACGGATGTCCGATCGACGGCAAGTTTTGCGCTGCTTGAGGCCTGTCGTCCGCTGGGGGCCCCCTCTTCGCGATGGACAAGAGCCTGCACCTTGCACGGTACAGTGGAAACCGGGACCCATGCCAAGAAACACCCTGCTTGCTTCCAGGGTGCCCTGGGTTCCTTGGGTTTCGATTGTTGTGCCGTGGGAATTGTGACGTTCCCACACCAAGAATCGATGGACGTCCTGGGGTCTCAGGGTTGGGTTTCTTGTGGACGGGTTTCTTGTGGTCGAGCTCCTACTGTAGGTTCGCGCCGTGCCCGCTGGCGGTGACCCCAGCGCGGGCGCTTCAGCCGAAGAGAAACAACGCCATAAACCTAAATTTTTGGCGCTCCGCGCGGCTTTCTTGGACCCGCGCTGGGTCCCCCGTTGCGGCGCTTCCGGCGCCGCCCCTGGCGCGCGGAGCGCGCCAAGGAGGGGGGTCCAGCGCAGATCCAAGAAATCCGCGCGGGGCGCCAAATGTTTCTGTTCATGGCTTGTTCTCTTCTGCTATTAAGGTGGAGCGCCGCCCGTGGCCCAGAATCGGCTCATCGTTGAACTGTCCAGCGTGTCTGAAACGGGCGTTCGTTCAAGCTTGATCGATCCCCGCGGTGTCAGGAACTAGCGCTGGGGTCGACGCGACGCGAATCTGCCGTACGCTCTGATTTTTGCGAGCGCCCCCCGTGCCCCCACCTTGATATGGATGGCTGCGCCGCGGTGTGTCGACGTGTCGACTGGCCGAATTCTTGCGCCCTGCTGGCGATGCCGACCGACATTGAATCGGGGGCAAGAAGGCGCTTGAAAGTCTGCGCTGGCATCCTGGTTGCGCGGGTGGTGCAGGATCTTTCAGGGGGCGACCTAACGGGTGTTTCGGCGATTCCGTGGGCCGTTTTCGTTTCGGTTTCGGCCTGCGGCAAAGGCGGATCGGAGACAAAGCGCGGGAAGACGAAATCAAGGCAAAAACGAAACATCTTGTTTAGGTCGAGCCCAGGATTTCTGTCCATCGACCGTCCCTCGGGGCCCCAGTCTTGAGCCGCCGATCAGCCTCTCCGCGAGCTGCGCGAGGCCGTCGGCGTCGGTCCGCGGCCCGCCCAGCAGTACCTTGGCGCCAGCGCGCACACCGCGGGGTGCGCGCTGTGCGCGAGGGGACAGGCCGCAGCGTCCTGCAGCCGCTCTCTCGCGCTCCTCTCTCGGTGCTCTCTGGCTCTCGCTCCGGCGCTCTCGCTCCTCGCTCCCCGTTCCTCCTCACACCCCCAGATTCCTCGTGAAGAAGCCACGATCAGGATGGGAGTTTTTTGGTGGTTTTCGGTCTCTGGGGGCCCTCGCCGGGCCGCGGGACCGCCAAAACTACCCGCGACGAAACTCCGGTCCCGGGGAAGGGGTCCAGACCTCTGGGTGTCGACGTTGCGACAACAACCACAACGTCAGAGTGTTGGGTTGCTCCTCGCTTCTCGCTGCTTCTCCTTCGCTTCCTCGCTCCTCGCTTCTCGCTTATCCTCCTCCTCCTCGTCCTCCTCCTCCTCCTCCTCTCCTCATCATTGGTCGCTTCTCCTCTCGCTCCTCTTCCTCACTTTTTCTTCCTCGTCTTCATTCCTTCTCCTCCTCCTGCTCCTCCTCCTCCTTCCTCCTCCGCCTCCTCTTTGTCCTCCTCTTCTTCCTCCTTATCCCTCCTCCTCCTTCTCATCCTCCTCCTGCTCCTCCTTCTCCTCTTTCTCCTCCTGATCATCATAGCCATTCCCAGGTTTCGTTCTGGAGATAACGACCTATCGCACCGCGCACTTGGAAGTGGCGCAGCGGTGCGGAGTCAGCAACTTCTCAATCTTGTGGGGGAGCGCCATGCCGAAGCGCCAAGCAAGACCTGTGTCTGCGCGCGCGAGTTGTCGGTTCGGCAACTTCATGTGGCGTCCTCAGTGCCGTGAATGTGGTCAGCGTGCCCCGCAGCGTGTGCTCAAAGCCCTGCGCCCGCCAGGCTCGCTCGGCAGCATGGCTCCCTGGCAGTACCGCCCCCCTGGCGGGGGCTGGGCCCATGGGCTGCCCAGCCGCGGAGGAGGTTAACGGGGAGCTCCATGCGACAGTGGCAAAGACAAGAGCGGCAAACCCATGGCGGGAGGAAAGGCGGGAGCTGCTGACGCGGCAACGAACGACCTCTCCCCTGCGTCCAAGAAGGAGCTCGTGGTCAGCCTGCCCGAAGAGTTCGCCAAATCCGCGGGCAAAGACCTCACTGAAGTGGTGCAGTTCGCTAAGGGCCAACCTGCGGAGCCTGCCCCACTACCTGCTGACCTCTGTTCAAAGGGCCTGCAGGACTTGCTCGAGAGGAAGAGGTCCAAGGAGAAGCAGCTCGAATCTGCCCGTGCCCGAGGGGCAGAGGAAAGCAGTCGAGGAAGCCATCCGGGTCGCCGCCGAGGCCCAGAAGGTCGTCAAGCAGCATGATGAGTCCATACGGAAGATTGTCGCAGCCATCCGAGAGGCACAGGCGCGGTCAGTCATGCCAGGCACTCCCACAAACTATGAGCAACCTGAAGAAGCCCTGGCCGACCTGGAGGCGATCAACACCCCGCTGTCTCGGGCGGCTCGTTACTTCGACGTCGACTTCAACAACCAGCTGGCCCAAGTCTCGTCGAAGCTTGAGGATGTCAAAGCCAAGGTCGAGGCGAAGGTCAAGCCTGCGGCGCCTGCTGCTGGGGCTCCTGGTGTGTCTGTGCCTGCTGCCGCCCCTGACAGCGATGACGCTGCTGACATGCCCGTCGACTTGTCGTACGACCCCGATGATGAAGAGCTCCGGTCAGAGTTCGCCAAGGCTGGCCTCGTCCCCGACGGGGACAAGACGGCCTACAAGCGCTTGCTGGAGGCTCTTGGCACCAGGGCCAAGAAACAGCGCTTTGGGTGACGGCCTGCTGCCAGGGAGAGCCCCCGAACCCCTGCGGGGTGCCGGGGCCTGCCCTCCTGCAGCTGGCGGCGGCGCTGCGGTGCCGAGCGGCGAGTTCTCCGTCCTGTCCGCGAACGCGTCCCAGTGGTCCTCTGCGCAGGCGCTGATGGAATGGATCAGGCACGACTCCGAGGGCGCTGGCATGCCTGAGCTGCCGCGCATCCAGGAGCACAGGACGAAACACAAGAGCGCGTGGGACTCGGGCAACAAGTGGCCGAGGCTCTGCGTATACACGCTGACTGGAGAGCTCGCGGGGGCCGCTGGCGCTGGCCCTCTGGGGCCCAGTGGAGGTGTTGCAGTCCTTTCGGGCCGTCCTGCGGTGAAAGAGTCAGGTGCTGATCGTGGGCTCTCTGGACATCTTGTGTTCACGTCGAAGGTCAACATCGCCCTTCCGATTCCTCTCTATGTTGTGCCTTTCTATGTGGTGACGTCCTCGCCAAAGACAGCGTCGCTATCCTGGGCTCCCTGCTGTCGTGCCTGGACTGCTGTGACGGGCCGTGGACCCTTCTGGGCGATTGGAGCGTGCTCCCAGATGATGTGGACACGGGGCTCGGCCGTGCCCGCGGCGTCTGCTTGCGGCCATCGGAGGCGACGCGTGGCGCCAGGGAGATTGGTTTCGGGGCCTGCAGCTCGGTGATCGCCAGCTTCGTCGTGGACGTTTGCTTGCTGAAGGCCGCGCTCATCCAGACCCGCTCTGCCGCCATGGTCAAGTTCAGAGGCTTGGGAGTGAAGGCTGCGATCTTTCGGCCTGAGCAGCCGATATTTTCCTCCACTGAGAAGCTCCCTCCTGTCAGGCCATGTCAGGCCTGCCCCGCGTGAGGCTATTCCCTGTGAGTGGTCCTGGGCCGTCGGCGAGGCGCTCCCGACAGCTCCCGGAGAGGCGCGTGCTACGTGGTTCCGCCATGCGGAGACCTGCGTGGCGGAGTTTCATGACCTTCAGTTTTGGTGCCAGGGTCGCTGGCGCGGCCGCGACTCTGGCTTTCGGACGGTGACTGAGCCTCTGTCTGTCTGCTGGTGTGAGTCCCAGAGGCAGAACACCTCTGAAGAATGCCGTGCTTGGTCCAGATTCTATTCGGCGGTCTTTCGCCGCGCTTCGTCCGGGCCCGCAGCCACAGACAGACGAGGGCCCCGGCTGGCGGCCCTGCGCAGGCAGAGGCGCGCGGCTGCTTCCATCAAGCTTGATTGGCCATCTGAAGGCCCGCTCAAGGTGTGCGCTGGTGCACCCCTGTCGGATTGTAGTGGCCTCCGGCCAGTGCCGCCGATCCGGGGCGCTCCTGATGCTAGTGTTGTTGAAATGGACGATGACGACGACAACGGACGACCAACGGTCGACGAGCGGGATAATTTCGACGACGACCGACGAAGGAGTTAATGACGACGAACGGACGACGACGACGACGACGACGACGACGACGACGACGACGACACCGACCGACCGACCGACCGACCGACCGACCGACCGACCGACCGACCGACGACTGACGGCGAACGGCTGCCGACGGCCGACGACCGACGACTGGTGACGGCGACGGGTGGAAGGTTTTTCGATCATCGCTTTCGCTTCCGAGCAATACCAAGTCAGGCCGTGCACCTCTGGCCTGTCAGCACGCGAGTGAGCGACTTTTGGGGCCTCTTGGTTCTTGGGGCTTCTTGGGGGCCTTTGGTGGGGGTGGGGGGGGGGGGGTTTGGGGAGGGGGGGGTTGGTTGGGGGGGGGTTGGGGGGGGGGGGTGGGTTGGGGGGGGGGGGGGGGGTTGGGGTGGGGGGGGGGGGGGGGGGGGGAAAACAGGGGGGGGGGGGGGGGGGGGGCGGGGGGGGGGGGGTTGGGGGTTGGGGTTGGGGGGGGGGGGGTGGGGGGGGTGGGGGGTGGTGGGGGGGGGGTGGGGGGGGGGGGGGGTGGGGGGTGGGGGGGTGGGGGGGGGGGGGGGGGGGTGGGTTGGGGGTGGGGGGGGGTGTGGGGGGGGGGGGGGGTGGGGTTTGGGGGGGTGTGGGGGGGGGGGGGGGGGTGGGGTGGGGGGGGGGGTGTGGGGGGGGGGGGGGGGGTTGGGGGGGGGGTGGTTGGTTTTGGGGGGGGGGGGGGGGGGGGGGTGGTTGGGGGGGGGTGGGGTGGGGGGGGGTGTGGGTTGGGGGGGGGTGGGGGGGTGTGGGGGGGGGGGGGGTTTGGGGGTGGTGGGTGGGGGGGGGGGGGGGGGGTGGGGGGGGGGGGGGGGGGGGGGGGGGGGGGGGGGGTGGTGGGGGTGGGGTGTGGGGTGAGGGTGGGGGGGGGAAAAGGGGGGGGGGGGGGGGTGGTGGTTGGGGGGGGGTGGTGGGGGGGGGTGGGGGGGGGGGGGGGGGGTGGGGGTTTGGGAGGGGTTTGGGGTGGGTGGGTTGGGGGGGGGGGGTGGGGGGGGGGGGGTGGGGGGTTGGGGGGGGGGGTGGGGTGGTGGGGGTGTTTGGGGGGGGTTGGGGGGGGGGGGTGGGGGGGGGGGGGGTTGGGGGGGGGGGGTGGGGGTGGGGGTGGGGGGGGTGGGTGTGGGTGGGGGGGGGGGGGGGGGGGGGGGGGGGGGGGTGGGGGGGTTGGGGGGGTTGGGGTGTTGGGGTGGGGGGGGGGGGGGGGGGGGGGGGGCCCTCTGGGGCCCCCGGGGTCCTCTTGGGGGCCTCTTGGGGACCTCTTGGGGGCCTCAGGGGGCCCCTTGGGGGCGCCTCGGGGGCATATTGGGGGCTCTTGGGGACATCTTGGGGTGGAGGACTAGAAGGGTCCGTTCGGATTCACCCTCTTGAGGCCATCTTGGGGGCCTCTCGGGGTCGTCTTGGGGGGCCTCCAGGGCTATATTGGGGCCCTCTTGGACCGTCTTGGCTCCTCTTGGGGGCCTCTTGGGCTGTCTTGGGGCGATCTTGGGGGCCTCTTGGACCGTCTTCGGCGCTTCTAAGACGGAAAAGGCGATAATGTTAAAATGCTTCAAAACCTATTAGCAACTTTATTATTGTACCCTCTTGGGGCCCTCTTGGGGCCCTCTTGGGGGTCCTCTTGGGATCTCCTTGAGGCGTCTTGGAGGCCTCTTGGGCCGTCTTCAGGCCATCTTGGGCGTCCAGGAGCGCTCTTGGGCCGTTTCGGGCGCCTCCTGGACCGTCTTGGTGACCTCCTCGGCCCGTTTTGGTCCGTCTTGGGGCGGTTTTGGATTCGCGGGGGGGGGGGGGGGAAGAAAGGGTGGAACCCCATGACCCCCCCCCTCCCCCCCTACCCCGGCAGAGCCCCCCCGGCCCCCACCCAGCAGAGCTGAAGCTCAGGTTGTAGCTTTATTAAACTCACACGCCGGATCGGCGGATTTCGTGGAGCTGTTCTCGCCAGGCGCCATCTATGACTTGGACTGCTGGGATGGAATCCTGGCTTCGCTGCGCTGCCAGTGTGTGTTAGTGCCCATATGTTACCCAGTCGCTGTTGATGTTCTATCTCGCCCGCCCCGCATTCGCAGTGTCCGCCGACGGGGGGGTGTTCGATTATAGCGTTCCAACTGGGTGAGCAGGATCTGTCGTCGACCTTGTAGACGACGTGGCTTAGGAATTCCAGTGACGCATGGGGTCGAAATTGTGCATTGCATGTGTTGCTGAAGTGTTGTTTGCTTTCTCGTTGAGAGGCTTCCATCAGATTTCCAGGGGGGAATATTGGACAGGATCACGAACATGAGGACGACGATGATGAGGAGGAAGAGTAGAAGCTGCTGGAGGAGGGTGAAAAGGAAATCCATGTGTTTCTTCATCTCCAGTTACCTTATCGCACAATGATAGCATTTTGCATGTGCTAACCATCGTGGGCCCTGAACGGTCATTTCTTGCAATCAATGCATTGCGATCTAGGTGGTGTAATCAATGTGGTGGAATTTCGGTGGTGTAAACCCATGTGGCACAGTTTGTGTGGCTCAGAGCAATACAACCCAATGCGAAAGTATGTAAACCAATGCGAATCAACGCAACGCAATGCAAAACAATGTAAAGCACGTGATCGCAACGCGGTGCAATGAAGTGGAACGTTGCGCAAAGCATTGCAACACAATGCAACGGAATGAACAACAGCGCAAAACAACACAAAACAATGCAATGCACTGCAGTGTAATGCGTGTCCATGCAGAGCAACGCAAACCAACGCATAGCAACACAACGCAACAAAACAATGTCTCGCAATGCAAGGCTATGCAGCAAAGCAAAACAATGCAAATCAACGTAAAACAATGCAAAGCAACGCGGCGCAAATGGCGGCGACGGATGGCGGCGGCGGGCGGCCACAAACCAGCCCCGGCACTTGGAAGCCCAGTCATTGGCGGCGACGGACGGCGGCGACGGGCGGCTACAAGCCGGCCAGACCAGCACCAGAGCTCTGTTACCTTAGAAGCAGGGTACGATCTCCTAAGTGCAAGCGGTGTTCGGGGAACTAACGTACTGCATTACTCCGCCCTTCTCCCACTTCGGTACTTGTTCGGTTGGCTAGGTGCGCGAGAACTTACGGCTATGCAGCATCTGCTAAATTCTTCCTGAATGATCAAACCTACTCTGATGACATTGCCTATTTCCTCGTATGGGGTCAACAGAGAACTGGCCCTTTCAAGATGCCATTCACCTGGCTCGTGTACTTGTGTGAATTTATCATCCTCGATCGCCTCAAAGCGCGAGCCTCCCGCTGGGTGTAGGTCGCATATTTCGGGGAAGGGGGAAGGGGGGCATTGTTAGTTTTGGACACCCGAGATGGGCACGGAAAGAATGGGCACTATGCCCAACAACAAATGTTGTCCCAAGCCAACAGCGGCCGCTGTTGGGCAGGCGGCCTTCTTTCTCGAATGGACGCATGCCGCGGCGGCGTGGACAGCGAATCCTGTTGAAAATGAACAGGAATTGTTGTTGGGCACTGTACCCATTCTTTCAGTACCCATTTCGGGCGTCCAAATTAATGGCGTCCAGAGGATGCCTTGCTCCTTGTCTTTCTGCAGGCGTTTCCCTCCTACCTTTGCGGACTCTACGTGCTTCTGGTGCACACGTTACTTCCGTACCTGGGCGCTGCCGTGCTCCAGAGGCAGCAGGGCCCCCCGACCCACTCCGGACCCGCTGTGCTGCCGTCGTTCTCCTGCTGCCGGTGCTCCCGCTCCTCCTGTGCCTACTCCCCCTCCTCGTCCTCCTCTCCCTCTCCTCCTTCTCCTCCCCCTTTCCCTCCTCCCTCTCCTGCTCCCCTCCTCTTGCTCGCCCGCGGTGCGCGGGCGGAGTGCCCAGGCATCCTCGCCGCCCCATCACGCCCTCGTCGTGTTCGCCGAGCCTGTCGCCCTCGCCCCCCCCTCCGCCTCCCCCTCGCGTCCTCGTCCTCCTCTCATCTTTCGTGGTCCGCCCGTGTGCCTCCTGTCCCCCGTCAGGGACTCAGGCAGCATCACCACTGGAAGGATTTGGAAGTTGAAACTTGGAGGTGGCATCGCCGATTGACGCTCGCGCAGACTCGGTCGGCGGCGAAACCCGAATCCTACCCTCGCCGATCAACGATTCAGGCAACCCGATGGGCCGCGGGGCAGGGTTCGGCATTCGTCGAGCCCGCGGCGAGATCAGAGCCCTGCCCCCGCCTCCCGTCGGCTCAGGAGAGTCGATATCGTTGCGGGGGGCAGGGCCCAGACGTCGCCACCCACTCGGGCACTCTGGTGCAGCTCCGTGGGCAGCCCCCAGAAAGGCCCACGAAGCCAAGGGGTGCTCTTCGTGGGCTCCCCGGGGCCACGGACGGGGCGCTTCCGCGGCCCGCTCCCCTGCCCGTGGCCCACGCCCCTGCTCAGGAGGAGAAAAACACACATGCGTACGCACAGACAGACAGACAGACAGACAGACAGACAGACAGACAGACAGACAGACGGACGGACAGACAGACAGACAGACAGACATACAGACAGACGGACGGACAGACAGACAGAGACGACACACAGACACGACACACAGACACACAGCCAGCCAGCCAGCCAGCCAGCCAGCCAGCCAGCCAGCCAGCCAGCCAGCCAGCCAGCCAGACAGACAGGCAGACAGACAGACAGACAGACAGGCAGACACGACAGACACACCACACACACATACACACAATCACACACAACCAATCATCGACTCCCAGGAAAATACAGGAAAAGATGGGAAGTGGGTGGAAAACGGAAGCCAGAACATGCGGGAAAGTATGGGGGAGCCTGGGATGAGTGTTGATTTGTTTGTGTGTGTGTGCCAGGGTCTCTTGACCTGCCCGCGGAGCAGGCCGGGCTCGACGCGCGGTCGCCGCTGGACGACACGCCCGCCCTGGTGAAGGAGCTGCTGCTCGGCCAGGGCGCACCGGCCCGCGGCCTGGCCCCCGACGAGCCCCCGCCGAGGAGCCGCCCGGGGGTGGGCCACGGGGGGGGCGTCCGAGTCGCGCTGTGGCGCAGCCTGTCGCAGTGGTCACCACGAGGCGTTCCAGATAGGGCCTCGCGTCCGGCACGGCTCCTCCTCCTCCGCCGCCTCCTCCTCCTCCTCCTCCCTCCTCTCCTCTCCTCCTCCTCCTCCTCCCCTTCCCTCCTCCTCCTCCTTCTCCTCCTCCTCCTCCTCCTTCTCCTCCTCCTCCTCCTCCTCCTCCATCCTCCTCTCTCCTTCTCTCCTCCTCCTCTCCTCCCTCACTCCTCCTCCTCCTCCCATCCGCCTCCTCCTCCTTCTCCTCGTCCCTCCTCCTCCTCCTCCTCCTCCTCCTCCTCCTCCTCCTCCTCCTCCTCCTCTCCTCCTTTCCTCCTCCTCCTCCTCTCTCCTCCTCCTCCTCCTCCTCCTCCTCCTCCCTCTCCTCCTCCTCCTCCTCCTCCTCTCTCCTCCTCCTCTCTTCTCCTCCTCCTCCTCCTCCTTCCTCCTCCTCCGCCTCCTCCTCCCCCTCCTCCTCCTCCTCCTCCTCCTCCTCCTCCTCCTCCTCCCCCTCCTCCTCCTCCTCCTCCTCCTCCACCTCCTGGCGGAAGGCCGGCGGAGGGCCGGGTGGGAGCAAAACGACGGCGGGCCCGCCAGTGACAAAGGAAGGCGGCGGAAGTAAGTGGAGGCGCCAAGACTTTGGAGCCAGGGCTTCCGAAGTCGTCTCTGCACAGCGCTTGAGAGTGAGGTCATCATCTGTTTTGGACAGGCCGCGGGGGGTCCTCGTCGTCGTCGGGCCTCGGGGGCATCTTGAGGGCGTCGGGTGCCGAGGTCGGTCGTCTGTCGTCGGGCGTCATCGTCGTCATCAGCATCTTTGTCGGAGACGCCTGCGTTCCTGCGGTCTACCACCGCCGCGCCCTGCCTTTTAGAAGCGCAAGTGCGGCAAAGTGTCGAGCCAAAGCCTGGCCAAGCTATCGCACTATGTGTTCCCCCAGCCGTTGGGGAAACACTTGGGAGAGGAAGAGAAACAAGGAAGACGAGGTGGAGGAGGAGGAGGAGGAGGAGGAGGCCTCTTGGGGCCCTCTTGAGGCCTCCTGGGGGCCTCTTGGGGGCCTGCTTGTGGCTTGTTTGGAGCCTGCTGGGGGCTTCTTGGTGCCCCCTCCTGGGCCATCTTATTTTGCCCGTCGGACGCCTTTGCAGGCCGTCTTCAGGGCCTCTTTAGGCCGTCTTGGGGTCCTCTTTGTGTTTTCGGGCTGTCTTGGGGGTCTCTTGGGCCGTCTTGGGACCATGTTGGGGCTCTCTTGGGACCTCTCTGAGCCGTGCTGTCTTGGAGGCCTCTGGGGCCGTCCTGGACCGTCGGAAGCTTCGGGAACGCTGCATCACTCAAACACTTTCTTCTGGGAAAGTCAACGATTTAAGCCTTTTGGGGGCGTGAGCCAGGCGCGAGGCGCGCGGCAAAGGGCGGCCAGGTCTACGGCCACGAACAGTACATCGTCAGCTGGCGCGGTGGTCGCAAGGGCCGTGGCCGCAACAGCCGCAGCAGCAGGGAGAAGCAGCAGTGGCGGCCCGAGCAGGTGGAGGGAGGACTGCAGTGAGGGCAGAAGGAGGTCCCGCTCTCCCAGGGCAGGTGTTGGTGAAGCGGAAGCGCCACCTGCGCTGGCAGCGCCGCCCCCAGAGGAGGAGGAGGAGGAGGACGAGAGGCGGCAGCACATCGTGCAGGTCTGCGGGCCGTACGTGGTTTGCCGCGTGTGCGGTGTGTATGCGGCGCAGAGGCGTGATGGGCTCAGCAAGGAGTGCACGGGGCCCCTCCCGCCGAGAGGCGTGAGCTCAGGGGCGGACGCGAAACGCAAAGGGCGAAATCGCATTCTGCGCGGACAGCACCCGCAGACGGGGAAGCAGCTCCCGATCGTGCTGGAGCCAGTCCAGCGCGGAGGCGCACGTCGTTGAGGTCGATGAGGTGACGGTCCACGTGTGGGAGTTTTGCCAGCAGAGCGATGTGGGTTGACCTCCGCAAGGCTTGCGCGACGTGGGGGGCCTTCGGTGGGACCCATCGGGGCCTCTGAGGGAGCAACAAAAAAGGCCTCTGTGGGGCCTCTTGGAGTTCTCTTGGGGGCCTCGTGGGGCCTCCTGGGGGGCCCTCGGGCCCTTCGGGCCCTTCGAATGTCAGTCGGGTCCCCCCTCCAGGCCCGCTTTTGGGCCGTCAGTTGGGCCTCTTGGGCCGTCTTGGGCGCTTCTTGGGCCGTCTTGGGGGCGATCTTGTTGGCCCCTAGGGCCGTTTGGGGGCGCCGGGAAGCCGAGGAGGCGAGAACGCCAAACGCCGTCAAACGCCTGTATACAACCAGTGATTGTGGCCTCTTGAGGCTCTCTTGGGATGCTTCTTGGAGGCCTCTGGGGGCGTCTTGGAGTCTCTTAGGTCGTCTAGGGGCCATCTTGAGCGTCTTGGAGCGATCGTTCGGCAATTCGGGGCCATTTGGGACCATTGTGAGGGCCTCTTGCTTTGAGATAGGGTTTACCGGGTAAGTGCATACAGCGAGCATTGCGAGTATCGCGTCGTCGTCTGGCTCATGACGCGAACGCCCTGTATGTTTGGATTGTCAGAGGATTCGGCAGTCCATCTTCGCATCGAAAACAAAATCTGATCAGTCTTCTGGATGGGGCCCCATCTCTGCGGCGCCGCTAGGTACGCCGCCACTACCGCTGCGACGTCAGTGCGTGACTGTTGGCAATCCGACGGAAACGCCCTTAGAGACACGGCGACATCCGCTTGGCTACTCCGAAAGTCGAAAACGCCGCAGCTTTGCGCAACTACGCCCAAACCCACGATGAACTTGGGAATCAGCTAAGGTACCAGCTTCCGCTACGCGGAAGCACAGACCCCATGCTTTTGAACCAGCACGGGTGCGCCTCCACAGCCAATCCGCCGCCTCGCGGCGACGGGCACTCCGAAGACGACGAATGAAAAAGCACAACGGTCTTCAGGGAAACAGTTCTTGAAGTGCGCCACTTTTAGCATTACTTGGTCAATGATTTGATGTGCTATAGGCCACGTGCAGCGTGGCAGCCACAATGACGGAGGCGATCATGCAACAAGGGGCCCATGCTGGGGCCCCTCGCGGAACGTGTCGTTTCTCGAACTCACTCGTGAAGTACATTCGCGGCTGAATGTTGCAAGCGCCCGCGTGACCCCACGACAACAGTCCGCGCGTGTGCGGCGCGGTCTGGGAGGGGTGACGCGCGCACTCGCGATGCGAATCCCTCCCCAGGTCACCAGTTGCGGCGCGGCGGCACGAGGGGTCCGCGTGGGCCCCGCCACGCGCGTAATGTTTTTCCTGGGCGCCAGATTCGAGAATATTGAGGGTGAGTGTCAGCTCATCTCGGGGACGGCGTTCGTAGACTTCAGGCCCGAGCCGGGTGAGGAAACGGACTCGGTCCTCGCCCGGATCGAGATGGCCCGTCGCGAGGCTGACTCAGTCGGCCTTGCCAATCCGAACTTTCAGTTATTTACAACGCTGCTCTTTAGAGCCCTAAGGTTCGGCCCTGGCCGGGCTGCCCACGCGCTTCAGCCTTTCAGCGGCCAGATGCCGCGGGCCCAGCAGCGCTGCGATGAACTGCTGGGTCGCATGCGTAGCTTTGGCCATCTGGTTGAACGCGCCCCTGGCAACGTCGGAAGGGCATAGCTGGGAAGCAGGGCGCGGAAACGCGATCGCGTGCTTGACAAGCGCCGGCGGAGCCGCGCCCGCGCCCGCCAGCGCGTGGGCTGGCGACCCATGCCGCCCGGAGGAGGCCACGGCTGTATTATCCACGGCTCCTCAGGGCCAAGGGGCTGGCAGAAGCCGCCCAGCGTCATCAGCGCAGCGAAGCTGGGGGCATCCTTCCAATCCTCGATGGTGGTGATGACGCTTGTGATTGTGATTGTGTATGTGATTGCGACGTGATCATAATTATGATGATGGTGATACTGATGGTGATGGCAGTGATGATGACATTGATGTTGGTGGTGATGCTGATTCTGATGCTGCTGATGCTGATAAATGACGGTGATGATGTTGATGATGGTGATGCTGATGATGATGTTGTCTGGTGGTGGACGGTGATGATGATGATGATGATGATGATGATGATGATGATGATGATGATGATGATGATGATGATGAGGATGATGATAATGTGGGTGGTGATGTTGATGATGACCATGATGATGGCGATACGGATGATGATGTTGATGTTGATGCTGGTGAGGGTGATGCAGCTGATGATGATGGTGATTGTGCTGATGCTAAGTTTGATGATTGTGGTGGTAATGATGATGATATCGACGAGGAGGATGATGATGGGGAGGAGGAGGAGGAGGAGGAGGAGGATGTGGATAGCCGTGAGAGTTTCGTACCACGCCAATCAGATTTTATGACCGTTCCCCATCCGTTTCCATCTTCATTGTCATCATCTTTCTCGTCTTTCCTTGTTGAGTCATATTATATAAATTCGCATGCGCCCCCGAGGAGAAGTACGTGCCGCCTCCGAGAAGATGACGGAATGATTGACCGCACGCTCAGCCAGAACAGTGTGAATCTAGGGCTGCCCAGCCCTGCTAGTAACCGAAGTTCGTTTTCCGAAGCAATGGCCTCGGGCTTTAAACACCTCCACATAGCGCAGCAGAGCGTAAAGAACCATTTGTATCACCAGCAGGGGCTCGACGCAGAAGTCGATCACGACATCGCTGACGCCAGTTGTTGTCTTAGACGTATCGCGCTTACGGTTGTCAAGAAGCACCATACCACGTTTGAACTATTGATCGGATTTGTCATTCTTGCGAATTCCGTTTGCATAGGCGTGGAGATCGAACTTTCGCTCAATCGCAGTCTTCAGGACTTGCCGTTGAAGAACGTAATGGTCAAATTGGAGCTGATGTTCTTGAGCATTTATATAATAGAATTACTCTTACGGTTCATTGCAGACGGCGTCAAGGTATTCCGAAGCCAATGGTTTGTGTTCGATTGTGCAATGGTGATCGTCGGCGGAGTAAGCTCGATGGTCAATAGCAACTTCGAGTCCAGCATGAGCTCTCCTGGAATGGATCTTCTGGAGCAAGCCCCTTTGGTTCGGAACCTTCGCTTGGTTCGCCTCGTTCGAGCCGTGAGAATGATCGAGCTTTTCTCCGATCTTTGGAAGCTGTGCATGGGCCTCATGAAATCAGCACGGACAGTGGCATCAGCTGGCATGCTCGTCACCATGGTGGCATATGTGTTTGGATGTGTTGGGGTCGAGCTGATCGCCAAATCGGAGAGTTTACGGGACGATCCCATCACAGGCCCGATAGTCGAGGAATATTTCTCTTCCGTACCGCAGGTTCTCCTCACCCTTACTCAGTTCGTGAATGCCGATTCCATCGGCGCGATATATTCACCGCTCGTACGTAAAAAGCCAGCACTATCAATGTATTCAAGAGGCTTACGCCGATTCTGAGGCGAGGTGAGGAACCCATGGAAATTGCTGAGGCGAGTTATGGTCTACAATGTCGTGCATGTCGATATGGGTTACAGCCATGTTGGGCTGACATACGCTTGGGGGGACAGCCAATAGCGCAATCGCCGCGCATGGAGGCAATCGCCAGGGTCACCAGGGCGCCTGAATGCGACGCTTGGGCAACTTGCGTGGTGGCTGTAATACATTGTAGAGCGGTGTAGGGCCGTCTCAAATTCTCTTGGGAACGCATGAGAGCCCGAACACGGGTCCAGCAGTCTGACAAATGCCCGACGAGTGTGACAGCCATGACGTCCGCGAGACCACAAGTAAGGACGACATGGAGAAACGCAGTAGGGAGAAGGGGGAGGAGGAGGAGGAGGAAGGAGGAGGAGGAGGAGGAGGAGGAGGAGGGAGGAGGAGGCGGAGGAAGGAGAGGAGGAGGAAAGAGGGAGGCAGGAGGAGGAGAGACAAAAGTGAGGAGGAGGAGGAGGAGAAAGAGGAGGAGGGTGAGGAGGAGCAGGAGGAGGAGGAGGAGGGAGGAGGAAGAGGAGGAGGAGGAGGAGTGAGGAGGAGGAGGAGGAGGAGAGGAGGAGGGAGGAGGAGGAGGAGGAGGAGGAGGAGGAGGGGAGGAGGAGGAGAGGAGGAGGATAGGAGGAGTCGGAGGAGGAGGAGGGAGGGGAGGAGGAGGAGGAGGAGGAGGAGGAGGAGGAGGAGGGGTGGAGCAGATAATGAGGAGGCTCGGGGACACTTGAAGCCCTCGAGGACACTTGAAGCCGTAATTGTGTATCCAGGAGGCATAAGAGATCCACCAGGAGAGGGAACATGTTCAACGGTAAGGCTTCTTGGGGCTTCACGGGTGCATCTGAGGGGGTTTGGGTGCGCCTTTGTGCCCTGTGTGGGCTTTCGTGGAGCCTCTTGGGAGTCCTTGGGCGCGTGACTGCGATTTCGGGGATCTTCTTGGGGCGGAGGGCTCGACAGGTGAATTCGACTTACCTCTCGTGGGCTCATGGGCCTGTCTGAGGGCCCTGCTTGGAGTCCTCTTGGGCCGTCCGAAAGAGCGTGTTCTGTATTCGCTGGGAATGGGAGTGGAGTTCGAACCAGAGGCCCCCCCCCCCCCTGAGATGCAAGGGGGGGGGTGCGGGGGGGTTTCGAACCAGGACGGGACTCCACCCCTGCAAACGACGACGGTGAGCGCCGTCGCCGGCGCCGTTGGGCAGCGACGACGAGGGCCCCCCCCCCCGGTGCAACTGACATTCACTGGCGCCGTCGGGCAGCGACGACGACGACGCCGACGACGACAACCACAACGACAACGACGACGACGACGAAGGCGACGGCGACGACGACGACACCGACGACGAAGACGACGACGACGACGATCGACGACGCTGGCGCCGGCGCCAGCGCCGGCGCCGTCGGGCAGCGACGACGATAACGACGACGACGAAGACGACGACGACGGCGACGACGACGACCACGACGACGACGACGACGACCATGACGACGACGACGAGGACGACGACGACGACGACGCAACGACGACGCAATGATGACGACGATGACGCCGACGACGACGACGACGACGACAACCACGACGACGGCGACGGCGACGGTGGCGGCGTCGGCGACGGCGACGGCGGCGGCAGCGGCGACAGCGGCGATGGCGACGGCGACGGCGACGGCGACGGCGACGGCGTCGGCGATGGCTGCGACGGCGATGGCGACGGCGACAGTTTGAACTGGGGGGGCCCCTCGGAGGGGCGTCTTTCCCAAACCAAACGGATCTTCCCAAACCAAACTTGGGCTTGGGTGACGTAGGCTTTGGTTTGGGAAGACCCCGTGTGGTTTGGGAAGACCCGGTTCGTTTGGGAAGACCCGGATGTTGGTTTGGGAAGACCCAGTTGGTTTGGGAAGACCCGGTTGGTTTGGGAAGACCCGGTTGGTTTGGGAAGACTCGGGCGCGTGGTTTGGGAAGACCCGGTTGGTTTGGGAAGACCCGGTTCGTTTGGGAAGACCCGGGGAGTTGGTTCGGGAAGACCCGGTTGGTGTGGGACGACCCGGAGGTTGGTTTGGGAAGACCCGGTTGGTTTGGGAAAACCCGGGTTTGGTTTGGGAAGACCCGTTTGGTTTGGGAAGACCCGGTTGGTTCGGGAAGACCCGGAGTTGGTTTGGGAAGACCTGGTTGGTTCGGGAAGACCCGTTTGGTTTGGGAAGACCCGGGGAGTTGGTTTGGGAAGACCCGAGTTGGTTCGGGAAGACCCAAATGTTGGTTTGGGAAGACCCGGTTGGTTTGGGAAGACCCGTTTAGGTTTGGGAAGACCCGGGGAGTTGGTGTTGGGAAGGCCCGGTTGGTTTGGGAAGACCCGGACGTTGTGGTTTGGGAAGACCCGGTTTGTTAGGGAAGGCCTGTGTGAGGTTTGGGAAGGCCCAGGGCTGTGGTTTGGGAAGACGCGGTTGGTTTGGGAAGACTTGGCCATTCGGTTTGGGAAGACCCTGTTGGTTTGGGAAAACCCGAGTTTGGTTTGGGAAGACCCGTGCCTCGTGGTTCGGGAAGGCCCAGTCGGTTTGGGAAGGCCCGCTTTGTTTGGGAAGACCCGGCCGTTGTGGTTTGGGAATGCCCGTTTGGTTGGGATGACCTGGTTGGGTAGGAAAGACCCGGGGTCGTGGTTCGAAATGACCTGGGTGTGTGGGAATACGTCGGCACTTGGTTCGGGCAGACCCGCTGGGGCAGGGAAAAGGAGGGGTAGGAGGAGGAGGAGGAGGAGGAGGAGGAGGAGAAGGAGGAAATGCAGGAGGATGGAGAGGATGACGAGGAAGAGGAAGGAGGATGGAGAGGAGGAGGAGGAGGAGGACGAGGAGGATGGAGAGGAGGAGGAGGAGGAGGAGGACGAGGAGGAGAAGGAGGACGAGGAAAAGGAGGAGGAGGAGGAGGAGGAAGAGGAAGAAGGAGGAGAGGAAAAGGGGGAGGAGGACGAGGAGGAGGCCTCTACGCCGACCCCATCTAGGAGCCCTGGAGCCCTGGAGCCTGGACCTCGGGAAGCGGCGGATGGGGATGCATTGCAGTCGGTCCCGCCAGGGGCCAGGACATGTCCACAGTCGCCCCTCCCCCTGTGGGTATGGGAAGCGCGGTCTGGAACGGAACGCTTGCCTGGCGAGCGACTCTGAACATGACGGGTTTGACTATGATTGAATTCGAGTGTGTGTCTGTCTGCGCACGATGAGTTTGCGCAAGAGTGAGTCTGAGTGTGAGCGGGTCTGAGCGTGAGTCCATCCGCGAGTCGGTCTGAGTACGAGCGGGTCCAGTGTGAGGGTGAATGAGTCTGCGTGTGGATGGGTGAGCAGCAGGGACCCCAAGGAGGAGCGGGGCGGGGCGGGGCGGGGCGGGCGGGCGGACCCTAACAGGCGGGCCGGGTCGGGTCGGGCGGGCGGGCCCTAACGGGCGGGTCGGGTCGGGCGGGCGGGACATTCAAGTATGGTGCATGATCGAGCCCACGCGCGAGAACCCTAACGGGCGGGTCGGGTCGGGTCAGGCGGGTGGACCCTGACGGGCGGGTCGGGTCGGGTCTGGCGGGCGGGCCCTGACGGGGGGGTCGGGTCGGGCGGGCGGGACATTAAAGTGCGGTGCGTGATCGAACCACACGCGAGAACCCTAACGGGTCGGGTCGGGTCGGGTCGGGCCGGCGGCGGAACCTAAGGGCGGGTCCGGGGTCGGGTCGGGCGGGCGGTGACCTAAACGGTTGGGTCGGGTCGTGCCGGGCGGGAGCATAAAAGTATGGTGCATTATCGAGCCCGAGCCAACACGCGAAACCCTGGCCGGCGGGTCGGGCCGGGCCGGGTCGGGCGGGCGGGCCCTGATGGGCGGGTCGGAGTGGTGTCGGGGGCGGGCGGGCCCTGACGGGTGGGTCGGGTTGGGCTGGCGGGACATTAAAGTGTGGTGCGTGATCGAGCCCACGCGCGAGAACCCTAACGGGCGGGGCGGGGCGGGTCTGGTCGGGCGGGCGGGCCCTAACGAGCGGGTCGGGTCGGGTCGGGCAGGCGGACCCTGATAGGCGGGTCGGGTCGGACGGGTGGGAC